AGATTATAGTATATCATATTATATTTTATAATTTTTTTCTGACTTTTTATGTTAATTTCATTCCAATATATTTTCAAACGGCAAATCTATAGAATAAGTGCCGAGAATTTGACATAAACGTCATGTCAAATTTGTGTCTGCGGTATTGCCATGTCCTTGTTATGTGTATGTTTTATGCCTCAAATATGCTTTGAAACCGTACATTTTTATTATATTATTTTATGAAATCGGGTATTTTTTAAAATTTTTTGAAATTACATGAAACACGAACGAATGAATATTTGTTTCTCTTAATATTAGTTGCAGTTAGTTATTAGAAAAAAATTATAATTGGCCTTTGGTAGATTAGTGAATAAACTTGGCAATACTGTCAAAATATTGAAAACAGTAGTTGCCAGATTGCAACAGATGTTTAGCAGATATCAATTTTATGATTTATATGACTATTTTCTTATAATTTTGGAGTGAAATGGTACCTGAATATCGTTTTGTTAATGTATTAGCTAGTTACTGGAGCTTGTTCAGATCGATATTTTTTCAAATTTACGTTGCAGAGATTAATTATCATTATTGACAATTTAATCCTTAAAATGTGAATAACAAAGTAAAAATATATCGGTAAAGATGTTTAATTAAATTTAATAACTTAAGAATTTAAAAGCTTAAAAAATTAAAGTTAATTTAAATTATAATAAATTAAATTTAAATTAATTAAACTTCTTTCAAAAACTTAAAAAGAATGTTGAACATTAATTAATATTATATCGCATGCTCTTTCAGGATTTATTTGTGATATGGCAACACTGCCAAATACAGATCTGTCACTAATCTTCTGTCAGTTCTTGTTCTAGAGGTCTGCCTTTCAAACTGTATACATTAAGTTTTTTTTTTATATTTTTAAGAATGTTGTAACTTGTTATTCTCAATAAAAAATTATGTAACTATAAAAATATTTCATTGCTTATACAGTATTAAATGATTTTATTAATTTTTTTACTAGCATCAGACTCGGTAACAGAAAAAGGTAATTACTTACATTAGTAAGGATAGTCGGATTAGTCTGAAATTTGGACAGTGGATTATGTTTTATTTTTTATTCACTTTTCAATCTATACATTTTTTTACGCTGAGCTATAGTTTTTCTGTAATTCGCCTTTAAAAAACTGATATTTTGACATAAATTTCAAGATGCCGCCGCCATTACAGCTGCTGTCAATGATGTGCGTATGCGTAGTGCATACTTCTTGATCCAATGTTGCCACACTTTTCAAATATATTGTTTATTGTGAAAATATTAATTCTCAAATACAATCATAAAGGAATAAAGATATTGAGTATTATTTCCATTTTCTGTTTCTAAGGGATACATATAACTGTATTTCATTTGTTATTAACCCATTAATGGCCAAAGTATCGGAAACGAAACATTTCTTTAATTATTTTTTTCTATGATTTTCATATGATGAATATTATAGTTTATGTATCGGTCTTTCATATAAATAGTTTATTGACGTGTTTGTTATTGTAATGGTCCATATTATGTGTTGTATAATTTTTGAAATAATAATCAAAACACTCCAAATTTACTAGTATCTGTCGGTGTCGTTTGAGCTCGCATAATAAATCACAAAATATTTAAAAAACGACCAAGCCAGCATTCCTTGTTCAATTAGAGATTGTACAATAATATTATCCAAACATAATTTGAAATCTGACTGCTTATAAAATTTTATAACGCCTTAATGATAATGTTTCGTTTATGAAACTTTGGCGCGATCCGTGAATTTATTATCCATATTGGATAGTCTACTAAAAATAAAAAATTTTTCAGTCTTAGCTAATATTTCCAACTGTGTAGTGGTTTCTTTGGTATAATAACAGTGAGTCTACTCGTTAGTAGCTATTTTTTATAATTTTGCAGTATTTTACCGTGAATCAAGATGTCCAGAGATCCATCAAAAGGAAGAAATAAAGGAATACTAAGACTTGCTAGGAAAACACCATTTGAAATATTCTCTTTGTTTTTTGACGATATTGTATTCCAAAAGATACTCGAGTTCAGCCTGAAGTATGCCCGGGACAACAACAGACATGATTTCAAACTCTCTCCAGGTGAACTACAGAAGTTTTTTGGTATTTTAATCCTAACCGGTTATCATACACTTCCGGCGTGTGATATGTATTGGTCAAAAAATCCAGATAAAGGCGTGGAGATCGTGAGAAAGTGTATGAGTCGAAACACCTTCTGAAACATAAAAAGAAGTCTTCATGTCTCCGATAATAATAACTTAGACAAAAATGATAAATTTGCCAAGACACGTCCATTATTTTTGCTGATGAATGAACGATATTTGCAGTTCGAACCATTTGCCCATAATATGTCTATAGATGAACAAATGGTTCCTTATTTCGGCCGACATTCTGCAAAAATGTTTATGTAGGGTAAACCAGTGCGCTTTGGCTTCAAAGTCTGGTGCTTGTGTAGCTCAGAGGAATATTTATACCAATACATTCCTTATGGCGGCGCAAATTCAGAAAGGCAGAAATCTCAATCTTCGACAACTTCTTTTCGAGTAATGCATTATTTCACATTCTAGGTGAAAAAGGAATTTTCTTTACTAGCACCGTGAGAGAGAATAGGTTACCAGGATATCCTCTACAAAGTAGCAAAGTGCTTGGAAAGAAAAACAGGGGCGAGTTTGATCATGCTTTTGACAAAAAGGCAGAAATATCAGTTGCAAGGTGGAATGATAATTCAGTTGTAACTGTAGCCAGCAATAATGGAACGGTTCATCCAATTATTACAGTTAAAAGATATCATCGGAAGCTACGAAAGGAAGATTCAATACCTGAGCCCAATATGATTAACGAATATAACCGACATATCGGAGGTGTTGATCTCCTAGATAATTCTGTATCAAATTACAGGATCCGAGTAGGAAGTAAAAAGTGGTGGGGCCCTTGTTTATGAACCTTGTGGATTGCACAGTTGTAAATTCATGGAAAATTTACAACATTGCAAATGACTCTCTAATCTCCCAATTGCAATTCCATTCTTCGTTGGTTTTGTCACTGATACAGAACGAAAAAAGATTTACATTAAAAACAGCTGCTGAAGAAGGTGACTCCGAATCAGACCCAGAGCCAGCGTCATCCACTTCTTCATGGGGTCGTCCTTCTAAAGGAAGTTTCTTTTTCTAGAGAAAGATTTCTAAAGGAAACTTCTGGTCATATTTAATATGACCAGAATGGTCATACTATCGTTCGCGAAGAGGCGGGACGTAGACGGCGGTGCAGACTGTGCAAAACTTACTATGTTTATATGTTCAGAAAATGCAAGGTTTACTTGCACGCTGACTGTTTTAGTGCTTTCCATAAAAAATAAGATCCCATAATGATGCTAGTACCATACTACCATACTGCCAAGTAATCACTTTATCTTATATAATTAACTATTGTAACAATATCTTTAGTTTTTAATTGATAAAACCAAGAAATTTCATTTACACAATATAAAACGTATAACTTTCAATTTACTACATATATTATGCCAAAGTTTCGTTAACGAAACATTCTTTTTTTGTATATTGCAATTATTATTGTTTATAATTTTAGATGAAATATTGTTATTATGCCTTTATTTATAAAGTATATAAACTTGAATTGCAAAAAATCTGATTATTTCAATGCTTGGCCATTAATGGGTTAACTTATGTTATTACGTATAGATTATAGCTTATTTCGTTTTATGTTGTATTTAGTTGGATGCATTAGTTATCAACTTCTTTATTAGTTTAAATTGTTAGATGATATGAGTAGATTAGGTTTTAATTTGTTTACTAAAAGTACGAATAAAATAGTGCATATTATATTATGTCTATACAGCACTGGTTCCGTTTAAAACATGGCTGATTCCGTCTGCGCAAACGAGATTCGCGTACTTATTTTTTCAAACAGAGTTGGCATTCTGATTGTTTATTATTCTGTGAAGTTTTAGATGTGATTGGAGTAGTTTGGATTAGGTTTTATTTTGTTATTTAATACTCAATATCGAGTTTTACAAAAACACTAATTCTGAAATACGCAAAAAACAATATTAAATCATATGTGGTACACTTTTAAAAACAATATTAACTCATATATAGTATACTGTTATAAAAACTTAAATTCAATATATTTACTCTGCAAAAAAAACAATATTAAGTCATATATGGAGTAAACTTTTATTAAAATTTAAATTCAATATATTTACTCCGAAAAAAACAAATGTGCATGTGGCAACATTGAACCTGAGTGGAATATTTTATATTGTGCGCAAACGCGCTTGACTTGTTTTTCCAAATAAATGAATTTTTGCCATTTTATAATATTTTATATTTTTGAATAATTTAACAGAGGAAATAATTGGTATTCACAATTGATTTATAAATTTTATATAACTATTACGGCTGTTTCATATTTCGATAACATTTTTCTCTTTCTAATTTTTGATTTTGTATACTTTTTATGAACTTTTTTCAATTTTTTTTACATTCATTCACTTTTTGTATGTTTCCGTAGACGTAAACATGAAAATTTTGCCTTTTTTCTATTTTTCAGGCTAAGTCCCCGAAAAATTCGCATTTTTAGGGACCCTTACTAATGTAAACAATTACCAGAAAAATAAGTGTATAAGGTAATAAATAAGGTTTTTTGAAAAAATATATTTCAGTCACTAACTTTACACAGTGAAAATTGAATATTTTGGATAATATCACTTTTCTTTAGTATGTGGGATATTTTGATGAAATGTTTTGGTTTAAAAACAAACTATTTTGATCTCAATTAAAAAATAAACAAAATATATGTAAGGAATAATAAAAATAAAATGTAATCTCTAATTACATAAAAAATTAAACTGATAACAATTTCAAATAGTTTATGTATGATGGTGTGTTTTTAAAGAAAAAAATATTTGCCATAATATAAACAAATGCCCACAAGCTTGAAAAGACACTTACCTAGCTTAATGGTAATATTCCTTTCCAATTCATTCTTAAATCTGACAGTTTGTACCCCAGATATGGCTTTAACCACAGTTGACTTTCCATGGGCTACATGTCCAATTGTACCAATATTAATGGTTGCTTGTCTACTTATAACTTCTGGAGATAAAGCTGTCAATCTTTTAACATCCTAAAAATGAAACACTAGTTACATACAGGTGTGTGATGTACATAAACCTATTGTGGTTTTATACATTCTAGACATGATTTCATAATTAGTTCTATTGATCTCCAAATTATAAAACTATTATATTCCTAAATCTGTGGGAGCTTATACAAAAACCAATATATACTAATCTACTACAATAACATTACAAACAAGCTTTAGAGCAGATGCCCTTTAGAAAGAATTCAAAAGTGAGGTTAGGACATGGTCATGCAGAAGATAAAATCCAAATTATAAACTAATATTAGTATTACAAATTATTGAATCTTTACCAATTTAGATAAATCTTGTTTGTGTAAATTTGGTTGACCTGTAGTCACGCCTGCACCTTCTGAAGACGCCATGATGCAACTTTAGAACGTTGGCCGTTGTCAAAAGAGGCGGCAAATAATTTTGACATCTAACATTCATAACAACACGTCACGTGTCGTTTGTCAATATCAAGTCATTACCAACTGTAACCACATAAAACTTCCCATTATGTTAATAATATTTCGTACTTATAAACATATAATAAACAATTGTTTATTTAATTTTTGTACATACTTTAAAAATTAATTATTTTTAAACTAATTCTCATAGATATATGATTATTCTATAACTCAATAGTGTTTATTACTGAAACTATGCAACCATTTTTACAAAAAAATGTATGACAAGCTCTCTAAATTAGGTAAAATACACCGGTGTAAAATAAAAAAGAACTTTCAGTTTTTGTTTTCAGTTTTCTAGTTTGATTTTTGAGTAAATAAATAGCGTCGGTAACAATATTTTTACATAATAACATGAAGGAAAGAAATATGGAAAAGATCAAGTCTACACCAAAAGAAGATTTATCAAATCACGAGGAAGAATCTGGAGATGAAGGAGTAAATATACTTATAATATTTTTAAAATCAAGTTATAAACTTATTTTTGTAGGACGAAACTTCTAGTGTTGGAAGTGCTTCAACTACCGACAATACTTCACGAAGTGCAACACCAACTAATAAATTACGAAAAGGTCGACGAGGCAAGAAACGTTTAAGTGCTACTATACCCAAAGTTCTTAAACCTATATATACTTTTTCGTAAGTACATAATGAGTACTTTTTATTAAAGCGATAAGTTAAAAACTTATAAGTACAATTAGTAAGTAACTGTAAGTTTAATATTTCTTATATAGCTGCAGTATTAAAGAAGATCATGGGCAACCTTTGTTTGGAGCTCAATTTAATCATCATCTGAAAGAAGGACAACCACTTGTATTTGCTGCTGTAGGAAGTAATAGAGTAACAATATATGAATGTCCAGATGGAACTGGAATCAAACTGTTGCAGTGTTATGCAGATCCCGATGTAAGTAACAGCAATAATTTGGTTTCATATTTTAATATTTCTAATTAAAATTAACAGTTATATATAAGTGTATAGTCAGGTCTAACTAAATGGATATTTCTCTATTTTGCTGTCAGAAATGTTAACAAGCTAAAGGAAATAATATACTAACGATGAAGATATTATATGACTCGCTTGTTTGTAAGAATTGCTTGTTTATTTATTACTACTAATATTGTGCAAGTTAATTTAGACCCCACACTATTATCTCATTAGTATAATATTGGAATGCAGTACTAGTTTAGTTGTCAAAGCAATCGGTGCAAAAAAACTAAACTTAAGCTAATTAAACCAAACGTGTTTATTCAGTGTTGTTAAATTGTTCGTTTCCTTTTTGAGACTGCAAAATTCTCTGAGTGATACATGAAAATTCCATTTATGGAATCTTCTAACAGTTATGAATTCCCTGATAAAGTACCAAGGGATGAGGATGCTATGGATAGTTGCAGTTATACAAATGGTTTTCATGGATTTCCATCCCATCAGCCAGAAAGCTTTATAAGTAGTCTTAATAATATTAATAATTTTATAACATCCAGTATGAATCAGGAGCAGTTGAATTTACAAATATTATCAAATGATACCTTAAAAACAGATAAACAAATTAACTTATTAAATTCTAATGAGCCAGAAAAAAGCAGACCTGTATGTTATATGAAAAAACTGATTTAGGGCCATTTCACATTTTCATTGATAACAATGATATAAATTTTACAGGCAAATTAAATGCACTTAAGATAGGTGAAATATTATTTACCTTACAACCAGAAATTAATAATTATATTAAAAAATTGATTCAATTGGATGCAACTGGATTAGGATAACTTTCAAAAACTATGCTATGCAAATTCCTTAATTACTTCTAAATTGCTTATTCAAAAATATCTAATTGCATATATTCCTAAATTTTAATTTTAAATTCTTGGTGGATTATGTGAAAAGAATAAAGAGGAAAGTAGTAACAGATGATAAAGGTTTTTAAACCTACAAAATTGGTAATTGTATAATTCAAATGGCAAAGTATACCAAAATATATTGTAATTAACCATATTTTACAGAATGTAAAAAAATACCAGCAAAAAGTAATTATTTACTACAACTCTTATATGGATGGACACATGAGTAAGTAATGTAAAAGCAACCCTAGATGTCTTAAATGTCATGAGTCCCACCCTTCCGATTCTTATTCTTTATCGTCCTTTAATAAAAAATGACTCTCCTGTGAAGGTGAACACTTCACTAATGAATGGGAGATATGTTCAGAATTAAATTGTAAAAAAAACACATTACAAAAAATCTTGTGATTTACCTGGTCAAACGCCTTTGTAAAGTCTGTGTATACAGCATGAACCTGGAAGTCATCTTCAAGAGATTCTGTAAGGAAATCAGAATGTCAATAAATTAAGTTCAGTGGAGCGGCTAGAGAGAATTCCAAATTGCTGGTTGATAAACAGCCTTTTAAAGATGCTGACAAATAGTCACAGACAAGGCTCTTAAAAACTTTGGGAATACAACTTAGAATCCTAATAGGCCAATAATTGTTCAGTAGACCGGGAACATCCCTGTCTTTAATGACAGGTTAAAAATGTGGAAAAGAGGTCTAGAAAGTAAAAAGCTAAAGTATTTAAGAAAAGAAGGTGGAAGACCATCTGGACCTGGCCCCTTGTTGCTATCCAACATGGAAAGTTTTTCATATATAGATGAAATAGAAATGCTAAATTGTGATAGGTTGATGTCTTGTTAAAAAGGTTTTATTCTGCAAATCAAACTCTTTATCACTATAAGTTTTGGAAAAGTATTCAGCAAATAAATTGACAATCTCCATGCCAGAAGAGCCAGAAATACTATTAAAGTGCATAACAGAAGGAATATTATTTCTGTTTTTTTTACTGTTACCAAATTTCCAAAAATTGTTAACATTACCTTTCAGAGAGGATTGAGTTAGAGCAACATAATCAAGATAGCATTGTTCTTTCATTTGTTTACAGTTAGCTCGTAATAAAGAAAACTCATTATAGTCAGCAAGTAATTGAGATTTTAGATATTTTTTATGCATTTTCTTTTTATTTTTGTTCATTGTTTTTTTAAGCTCTAGAGAAAACCAGACAGGAAACTTTTTTGCTGAATACTTTTTCAGAGGAACAAAAACATAAATTGCAAGGTAAATAACAACATAAAACATGTTGATCATATCGTCAAGACTTTTATCTTTAAACAAATCATCCCAGTTAAATTGTAAAAGAAAGTTTGTTACTTCCTGTACACTCATTGAGCGAAAGTCTCGAGTACTTTTTTCTTTGTTTGTCTATTTTTCAACCGTTTCTGTCGCTCTTCATACACCTTTCTAGCAGCGTGGTTTTCTGGAGTATCTGTGTAGATAGCAGACTTTTTGGGTTTCGACCTCTGTTTCCTAGTTTTCTCGGTGGAGCTTTAGGGTAAGGTCGTAAAGTCTCAGGCGAGAACACAGATTGCTTGCTTGTAGACGGTTCTGATGGCTGACACAAAACAGCATCACGAGGAGAGATGTCTGAATACAGATTCATTGTACCAGCTTCCCATTCTTGGCTAGGTTCTAGAAGTGTTTGTCTAGGCGGTGTTTTTGTTGCTTTTAGGCGGTGTTGAATCACTGTTAGTAAATGGCTGCGATGAAGCCTCTTTAGTTGAAGCTCTATTTTCGGGCTCAGTTGAGCTTACTGCGCTGAATGAAGGTGGATCCTCATTCAATAACGAAGGTGATAGTGATTTGTCATCAGGTGCAAGTCTAATGTTATGCTGATTAGAAATGCCTCTTCAGTAGCATTTGGATTAGGCCTGTCTGTCGCGAACGATGGCGCAAAATCAATTTCTTGAAACAAATCGTGGTTGATTGAGAAGATCCCTGTCTTTCCTGAGCCTGGATATTCACCTGAGTGAGAGCAAGTGGCATTGCGATAGTATAATACTCAGTATGTCGTAAATAGTTATGACTTTTCCTTGATGATTTCGCATCCAGGCATCACAGGCAGTATTAATTGCTTTTTTGAGAGGCCCATAAACGGATCTATCTAAGGTATGTAGCTTGTGATAGCAGTAGGGCGGAAATGACAGTAATACTATCCCATTATCTTTGCAAAAATCTAAGGAGTTGATATGTATATGGGACGAATGATTGTCTAGCACCAATAATATCTTATGCGACAAAGAGGCATTCATATGATTTTGAAAATGTTTAAGAAATATAATGAATGACTCTTCTTGCATCCATCCTGATGGATTACCGGCACCGATTGATCCCACTGGTCCGTCTCTAATGAAATGCTCTTGATATCCAATTCGACGAGACTCGAACATAGGTGGAATGTCGTTGCCTAATGCGTTAGCTGCAAATGCTAGTGTGACCAAAGTGTCTCGTTCAGCAGAAGTAATTGCGCCCACCTGCTTTGTTCCACGTCTTGCAACAACTCTGTCAGGCTTCTGTACTGTAGTAACGCCGGTTTCGTGGACATTATTATATTTCCTGAGGTTCACAGTGATCGCGATCCATAACAGTCTGAAGATTATCATAAAACACATTGATATTATATCGGTTGAAACTTGTCGCCCGAGACAGGCTTGTGGCTTGAGCAGCGCGGATAGATAGTTCGGAATTTCTCTTCATGAATGAACGAAACCATTCTTCTCCAGCCAAGTGGAAGGAGCGTTTAAATTATATTTTACGGTAAGTTCAAAGGCCAACTTTCATACCTCTTTTGTGGAGAGACCAAAATATATATCCGCACAACGAATGAGATACTTCGCTAATTGCCGTTCTTGGTCTTCGTTAAAAACTCGTATTATGAGTCACATATCCCATTTTAATATTTTTCAACCGTTCCTGGTCTTCTTCATTTACTGCATCTCTCTTTCGCTTGTATCTCAAAAGAAAAACCTAATTAACGCCGTACTTATCTGCTGCTCTTCTTAAAGAAGCACCTAATTTAATTTCATCGTAAGCGTTTTTGTACAATATGTCGTTTTCACCTCTCTAGGTCTTACTTATGCGTTGTCTAGGCATCTGTAATACAAAAATAGTGCCTATAAAACTACAGTAATGTTAAAATTACTGTTACAACCGTCCCCATGAAAATCGTTACAACCGTTGTGCCCCTCGCCTACCATACACAGTTTCGATAATATTCGAGTTGTTACAACCGTACCCAGGCTCCCTTACTATTAACAAAGTTCTGGGTAAAAAATAATATATTTTTGTTGCTTTAAATAGTTGCATTAAAATCTTAAATTTCTTATTCTAACTTTCAGCTAGATGAAAACTACTACACTTGTGCCTGGTCACACGATGAAGATCTAGGAAAACCACTTTTAGCAGTTGCGGGGTCTAGAGGTGTCATTAGAATTTTAAACCCAATTACTATGAGTTGTATCAGACACTACATAGGTCACGGACATGCTATAAACGAACTCAAATTCCATCCAAAGGATCCGAATCTCCTACTTTCAGTATCCAAAGATCATTCGTTGAGATTGTGGAACATTAAGTCGGATGTTTGTATTGCCATATTTGGTGGTGTGGAAGGACATAGGGATGAAGTTTTAAGTGCAGTAAGTATATTGTATATCAACTAGAGCAGGGGTTACCAAACTGTGTCCCAAACAATGCGAGATAAGTCCAAAATTAAATTAAATTTAGGTAGTCTTTCTATAATATTAAAATTATAGTATATTATATTATATACTTTAATATTAAAAAATAGTAAAATTTATTGCAATATATAATTTTCTCATTTGTTCAGAAATAATAAACAAATTATTTCTTTTTTAGGATTTTGATCTGAACGGTAATAGAATTATGTCTTGTGGTATGGACCATTCTTTAAAGCTATGGCGACTGGATAAGGAAACAATGAAAGACACTATAAAGAATTCTTACGCATGGAATGCTTCTCGAAATACCAGGCCGTTTGAATGTTTAAAGGAAAATTTTCCAGATTTTTCCACCAGAGACATACATAGGTACTGTATTTTTGTTACAAGTTTTGTTGAATGTTATCGATTATAAAGCTCTTCCGTCTGACCACCTGTCAGCACTTCATAGAACGCTTCAGCACCTCATGTATTAGATAATCTTGTTTTACATCTTTGATAAAATTTATTAGCAATTCTAAGGTTTCTCTATTAGCAGTTACCAAAATGTGTGATAGATTTAACGGAAGCAAATATTTCATTTCCATAAGAGTTTGAATTAATAAATTAGATTTTTCTAAATATTTGTTGCAGCCAAAGAAAATATTGTTAAGATCTCCGTAAGAATTTATATCACAACTGTAGGATGGTGCCGGTAATATTCCAAGCTTAAATAAATGCGACGGGAATCGATCATGATTCGTTTTTTAAGCAAAATACACTTGCCGAGAAGAATTTGGTAGTCAAGTAATTGAACATGTATTTGGGCGGGAGTGGTAAAATGGGGTGTATCTGGAAATATGTATTTTACGAGTTTTCAACAGGGTTGGGCTGTTTTAAAACAAGCTTTTTAAAACAACGTTTTAAAACATGTTTAAAAACACTGAAAAAAAAAACAGTTGCATTTTAAAACAACGTTTTAAAACATGTTTAAAAACACTGAAAAAAAAACAGTTGCATTTTAAAACACCGTTTAAAAAACTTGTTTTAAAACATAGTTTTTTTTCGTTATTGTTTATTATTATTTTGTTTATTAACATTTGTTATAAGACATTTGTGTTTGCTAATTTGCAAAATTGCAAACATAGATTGTAGAGTAAGTAGGTGCAATAACAATATTAATGCTAAGTAAAAAGTAAAACTCAAAAAAAGTAACTGACCAAACTTTATTTATGTTCAGGTAGCAAGCATACTAGTACTGTTACGACAGTGCTGTAGTAACATTAACTAAACCAATACTCCTAATAAAGTTAAAAGAAAAAGAAAATTAAGAAATTAAGTAAATAATTATTGAATTACAACAGCATCTATTACACAGTCCTACATCCTGCAACTGATATGTGATACAAAAAATAAAAGTAACAATGAATGTTCCTTAAAAAAATAAAAACTATAAATATAGAGCTTTTACGGGTAATAATGTAACCTTAAACATTTTTATTTAAATGTTGAAATATTGTTACTAGCTTAGCAGCTTTGTCACTTCCTAACCTATTCCTCAATTTCGAGTGAATTAGACCATATGAAGAAAATAGCATCTCCACTCCAGCACTGGGTGCAACTGCTGAAAATAATTGAGTTGTCAGCTGCAACAACTTCGATGAAATAAACTGTTTTTGAGATAGCCACCATGTTAAAGAACTTAAATTGTCTACTGTATTTTTTGCAAACAAATATTGTTTATTAAATGGCGGTGCTAAGGCACGAAACGACAGTATTTCGGGCATTACATTTGGGTGAAAATCCGAAATAAATAATGCTCTATCAACTTCCACCTCAGAGAGTTTCTGACCTAAGTACTGAGGGTCTAATAAATAAGCTAAATATTGCGCATCTGTTATAGCCAGTTGAAAACGTGCTTCTGCTTTATGAAGTTCCAACACGTTGCTACAACCGTTAGATTGAGCTTCACTTTCACTTTGGAAATAACCCAGTAGGTCCTTCCAAATGTCTGTTGCATCTGCTATGGTGCAGGTATTTCTCTGGCATTTATCCAAAGCCCATATGTGTGCCAGTTGAGGTTTATGGGAATCCCCTTTAGAAATCAAGTGAAGTACGTAATTATTTTAAAACGTTTTTTTTTGTTTTAAAACAGTGTTTTTTTTGTTTTGTTTTAAAACAAAAAACATTGTTTTTAAATAAAAAAAACATGTTTTTTGTTTAAAAAGAAAAAACATTTTTTTGTCCAACCCTGGTTTTCAACAATATTCTCCCAATGCTATTCCCATTTCAGCCTAATTTTATTTTTTATTGAGTTAAATATATCCCTTAATGTATAAATATTGCAAAAGACTCCATTCTGCACTGCTTCCTTAGCTAGAGTATCAGCTTTTCTGTTCTCTGGTATACCTACATGGCCTCTAACCCAAATAAATGATATATTTAAATTTGCAATCATCTTGGGAATTATAATTATGTGTTTTTGTTAAAGATTTAAAAGGTATGGTGTACGGGTATTGTAATTTGTTACTACCAAACAAATTTTGGACTTCATTGGTCTCAGTAAATGCTTCTGTGAAGAATTTTTTAGTTCCCAATACGGGTTTTTTAAGTCTTCTTTTAGAATATGACTATCGTATAAGCATATAAGCATCATAAGTATTTTTAATGGCGTATATACATATATTGTCTGCATATTGGATATGTTTGATGGAATTAGAGAAAAGTGAATGAATATTGGCAGAATATATATTAAATAATGTAGGACTAAGTACCGATCCCTGAGGCAACCCATGATAAACAATTCTTGGACCGTGAATTACATTTCTATGGTCTTTGATGTATATACATCGAGAGAAATATAATTGTAATATAGTTAGAGCAGTCAATTCACTCAAGCCAATATCAACCATTTTTTGTTTAAGTGTATTTAGGTTAACACAGTCATAAGCCCCTTTTATATCAAGAAATGTATAAACAAAATATTTATTAAAAGAGAACGTTATTTGAATGTTATTAACTAAATGTGTTACTGCATCCAACGTATTATATCCCCTCCTAAAACCACATTGAGTAGTAGGTAAGAGAGTATTGTACTCGAGATACCACTCTAGCCTTGTTTTTATCGTTCTTTCAAATGTTTTAGTTATAGACGATAGGAAGAAGTTAAGTTTCTATCTTTATTAGGTTTTAATATTAAAGAAATGATGACTTGCTTAAACTGTTTAATACTTATATTTTCCAAAATGTGTTGGTAAAATGTGTACCAACACATTTTGGTAATATTATTACCAAAATGTGTTGGTAAGCGCATAACTCAACAACGCATGAACCAATCTTAACAATTCTTTTTTTTAATGTTCCTTGAAGTCTAAGAATGGTTTTTACGGCATGAAAAATTCGAATAATTTCCGGAAAACCCTAAAACAGTCCTTTTCTTTTTCTCATACAAATATTTTCTAACTAAATGTAGAGTCAATTTGAACTTTATTGCTATTCAATAAAATTTATACTAAATTACAAGCACTCACTATTGTCTAAACATTCTATAATATAAAAATGAATCGCAAAATGTGTTGGTAAGTGCATAACTCAATAACGCATGGACCAATCTTAACTAGTGGCGGCTTTTTGGGTAGGCAGGATAGGCCGTGTCTACCCAATAATTTTAAGAGCTTTAAAATTGAAAAACATATTCAAACATTATGTTAATGCATGTAAATAATTTTTAAATGTACTAAATCACTCAATACATTAGCGTCCGTTAAAACAACTATGTTATTATATTACCACAGAAAGCATCGAATCGTATTCAGGCATTTTAAATATCATTACTGCCGTGTTAAGGTAAAAGGTAGTAAGTGACATTTTTGTCAAAAATGAGATTTTAATGTAGTGTACCTAAGTAGTAACTGCCCTTGTTTTTACAAAGGGTTTGGTGCACATTGATAGTCAACTTACACCAGAAATAGCAATGGCAAAAAGCAGTAACTAACAAAGTATCTCTCAATGTGATGGTAAAAGACAGTATCTAACGTAATAACTAATTTACTGCTGTTTGCCTACACAGAGACCTGGAACACAATTTTTAATGTGAATGCAAACGGCAGTATCTACTTAGTAAAGTAGATACTGCTATTTACCTTCACATTTGTATTCCAAGTTTGTATTATAATATCATGATATAAGGCAGTATCTTCTTAGATACTGCCATTTGCTTTAAACATCACCTGATTAAATATCCGTTAAAATAAACACATGGTATAACGCAGAAAGTTTAACTTGCAGTTTCAGCCCGTGAGCCCGTACTTAGATTTGTTTAGTCTACCGTTTGGAGTGTATGCAAGGTGTTGTATTTTGTGGAGTGCACCAAAACTGTTTAAATAACATGTTTACCTCACGGGGTAAATATTTAGTGTCCTTGGTAATACAAGAAGTATCAGCTCAAGACGGTAGGTACTTATATGTTTTTAAAATTAATGCTTTTTTGGTAAAACCGAGTAATATGTCTCCACCAGTTTTTGCTATAGTACCAATTTTTATTATATTTATAATTTGATTTTGTTGTTTAATAATATTGTATATTGTATTGTTTTTTTTTACTTTTGTCTAATATCTAGTTGTCTCGAATTCTTTGTGTTAATTGTATTTTATTTATTAGTCAGTTTTTTTCAACTCTTGATATTTGAGGTTTTTTGAAAGAAATTAATATTATTATTACTATTATTAAAATTAATAAACAAATTTAAACTAAATAAAAACATTGATTTATAGCTACGCAATAATTGTAGGGGTGTCCCTACGCAAAAGAAACAAGCTATAATTTCGCAACTGTGCCCCCTCAGGCCTCAAAACAGACAACATTTTTGGCATTCATTAAAAGAAGATGATGTAGAAGACTTAATAAATTTCGAATAGTTTTTTCAATATTATGTAATTAATTATGATTTTTTCTTTTTTATTAATGTGAATTACATTTTAATTTTAATTTGATTATATTTTTGTTTTATTTTCAAAACCGATATTTCCATAAAGCTGAAAATTCTATATTTTTACTGCTTAAAAAAATAACTTGATTATTATGGTAAACAACAGTAACTGCTGAATTTTCAGCCAAAAAACAAGTAACACAATTGTTTTGTTTGTCAAAAATTAAGACATATTTTCTAATGTCTTTTAACGTTTTTCTGCTTAAAATGAAATAAATAATAAATTGTGTGGAAGAAAAAATCCTGAATTGCAAATATCTCAAAACCATTATTTTCGCACTTACTGCTTTTTACCTTATCACGGCAGATTAATAGGCCCGATCGGAACTGGCCGACCCAGCTCACATAAGATCTCTGTACAAAAAGCGTTTGAAGTTAAGCAGCTTGCTAGACAGCGATTTATATTGTCGTGTTTATGCTTGCTGGTTAGGCACCAAACGATCGGGCCTACGCCGACCATCGTTGTCACTTGTAACGTAATTATCGAATTGTAATATAAATTTTCTTTTAAATTATGACAAAAAAATATGTAACATAATCTATAATTGTAACATATTTTTAAACAAACAACAAAATTGCAAACAAGTGGAGTTTTCCTGGCGCTTTACCAGGTTGCAGTAATAGTAATGTTGATAGTGGGTGTTTGGACATTGTTGTTTCACTATTGGAATCTAAATTATCTAGAAGAACTGAAGTTGATAGAAAAAAAAAATTATTATGAATGAAAGGCCTACTCCAACATTGCGTATTGGTATGATGTCTATAAATGGTTGTCTGGAAATATTACGAAAACAGACTATATTGTTGGTCGTGTTTGTTATTTTCTAATAAGAAATGTGCATGGAATTGTGAAGGATACTTTGATTTAAAAAATATGTCATCCTCCTTAAAAAAACATTCCAGTTGCAAGGAACATTTAAATAATTTCCTGTCGTTTAAGGATGTACAGAAGAGGTCGTTTTCTATTTGCGATTTGCTAGATGAAAAATCAAAAATTGCAAAAATTTGATACAACGCAGAAGTTAAAACGAACAGAGAAATAATTAAAAAATTAGTTTCTTAAACTTGTACTTTAGCGAAACAGGAACTGGCTTTCCGTGGCCACGACGAATCCGACGATTCCCTAAATCCTGGAAATTTTAAAGCGATTTGGGAATTAATATTAAAATCAACTGCAGAACTAAATGTACATTTAGCGAAATAAATTGCGAATTAATATAAAGCGAATATAATATAATATAAAGCGAAATTAATTGCTCAAACCTACGATGGAGCTAGTGTTATGTCGGAAAAACTTAATGGACTTCAAAACTTAGTGAGAGATTCTGCACCATTAGCAATACTTACCCGTTGTTTCGTTCTATCCAGAAGCAGATTTTGTTTTTAAGGGACGATATTTTGTCTTTTACTGTTAATGTAGTTACTGTTCTTCCTTGTAGGGACTGGCAAAATACGTTGAGTTTATCGAATATATCAGCTAAGTAAGCCAATATTATCAACCACTGCTCATCATGCAATAGTTCAACAAGCGTACTAACAGATACAGAAATGGGTTGTTCAGCAAAGAATATCGTAAGCTCGTTGCGCAATTCAAATAATCTTGATAAAACTTTTCCTTTTGAAAGTCATTATACTTCCGTGTCTAGCAACAGTGATTGATGCTGACTTCTTACCTCTTCACACGCTTTGTTAAAAAGCCTCGACTGGAGTGGACATGATTTAACGTAGTTAACAATTTGTACGGCTTGATTGAGAACTTTCTTTAAAGCCGATGGCATTTTTTTGCGACAAGCGCATCGCGATGCAGAATCGCGATTTTTTTTTCTTGTTACAGTCCCTTTGCCGACCATAACTGCAGCTCCGCCGCTGCAAACATCAATACATTTGTTCTAGTCAATATGGTGTTTAGTCATATAATTATCAATAACTTTAAAAATTTCTTCTCCTGTTGTGTTGGTCTCTAAGGCTGTACAAAGAAACAAATCTTCTTCATCTTTCTAAATCTTAATTAGTTACAAAATGTATACATTCGGTACTTGATAAAAATAAGTAAGAATATTAAATTAAATCTTCAAATCAAACTTACCTGCAAAGATTGAAAATTCCAGATTGAGAAAAGAAAAATTAATGTCACTGTAACCTCTTTTCTTTGCATTACACCAATAACATGAACACATCTAGTCTTGTGTCGAGCTGGCTGGTGGTTCTGCTCCCCCCTCGTACCGTTGCGATGCAAAACTCGCCCAACACAAAAGCGCTTACGTGCCGCAGCGCCAGCAGTTTTAAATTTTTGTAGCGGATGGCTTACCCTCACCACTCAAACAAATGGTTTAAGATGTTTGCAGCACACCATAGCGGGGCTTAAGCGAAAAGTCGTAATTAGATATATGTAGTTATGAGTATTTTCTATAAATGTTTTATTTAACTGTCGGCAGGGGCGGCTCGTGATAGTACAAGATGGTGAGGCACACTACACTTAAGGAAAATTATTATTATTATGGTTAGCTTCTCTTTGCTCCAGTCATACCCGGCTAAGGAGGCATTGCTCGCACCAGCAAACAATGACTTGGCGTGAGAAGGACTTCTGACGATACGCGCGCAGATCAACAAAATTCATCCTCACCTCAAAGCTCTCCTAAGCCCTCCTCCACCCTCCCTTATGTGCACTGAAGGTGCAACATAAGGGCTGACTGCTTTTTGAAAAAGTCCGCGAATAAATCTTGAGCAGAACGCCCGGAACTTACATCGTAAAATCACATGAATCGTTCGACTGGTTTATCGTTTAGTACGTAACGAAAAATAACGGATAGTTGTGAATGGCAGCTTATATCAGTAGTCTCATCCACCTGCCAGGAAAAGAATAATGATTTTGAAATTTCTTCCTCAATTTTTTTATTTATTACAAAAGCAATTGAATCGATTAATTCATTTTGTATGGTTTTAGATGTCCCAGAAAAAACTGATCTAGAGTCATTATCATGTTCTAAAAATGTTTTTAAATTAGTGTCAAATGTACTAACAAGAACAACTAGCTCTTTGAAATTCCCGCGATTTAAAGATTCATTAGATTCATCATGCCCCCTAAACGGTAACTCTTGCATACAGAGGTGTAACGTAATATCTATAAGGCTTTTTAAAATTTGCCGATTTTCTTTAACCCTAGCATTGAAATTTTCAATATCTATTTTACGCGAATTGTCTAGTGCTGTGGCGATATTTTGCTTTTGTTTTCTCATAAGAGTAAGCTTGCAATTCGATGTAATATGTTGAGAACTTTTATTGTGTAACAATAGACTCCGAGACAAATTTTTCAAATCAGTATAACCACTTTTGAACCAAACTTTGTCGCTAGTATTAGCTGTGGCAAATAAAATGCATGGCCAACAAAACAATTTATTTAATGTTATACTACCCGTAAGCCAGTCAAACTTTTCGTACCATGCATTTTGAAATCCCCGCTTTGGTTTTCCGACGCCACCGATAGAAACAATATGTTTACTTAAATCTAGAATAGGTCGTTTTACTACTTTAACTATATATAATTTATCTTCTCTTCATATGAATGACTTGAAAAATTCTGCTGATTGACTAAAAAGTTTACGAGATCACAAGTATTACGAATATTTACATTTACCTGGGAAAGTTGTGACGAAGTGCTCGGTGCTAAATCCATTTTTCACTAAAACCGAAAATCCTGCAGACAAAAACAAACCCACCAAAATTATTAAAAAAACTTAATTAGAATTGCACTTATTATATAACATGTAATCTTACTGTTTTTTAATGAAAAACAACACGAGATACGTCAAACGTGATCCTGCCGCACCAACAGGTCAACAGGAAGTAATTTAACTACTACTTACTTACTACAACAATTTTGCAGAAATGTTCCAAAATGTACCAATGTTACCAATCTGGTAAATGCATAGAAAAAAAATATTTTTTGTTAAATCGGAAAACAATAGAACAATATGTATAGTACCATCTACTAAAGGAAAATACTCCAATGTTGTTACAATTTTCAAATAAAAATCTATGTTTTATTTAAAATGTACTTTTATACCCCGAGGGAAAAAATGTAGCGAATTGGGTACCTTTGTACCCAAACGGCAACGCTGCTAATTAAAAGAACTACACCAAACGAGAGCGGCATGCCTCTCCTGTTCGGTGAAATAGTGGGCAGAAAATAAATAAATCATGTTGAATTTCGCTACATAATATGATGTCTAATATGCCAGACAGAGCAATGCCGTGAGGCTTGCCTCGGCTATAATTTTTAAAGAGAGAATGAGATGCACAGATGATGCGCTGCTGGCGCGGAGAATGAAGCCGTTGTTTATTTAATATTTTGTGGTTTAAGCTTGTCCCTTGTCCGGCCCGTAGATTATGAAGAAATATACAAAGATAAGACATCAGGGGTGTACATATTTTAATTTTTTATCATAATGAAAATAAAGTTATTTAGAAAATTCCAAAAAGTTAAATTGTAGTTAAAGAACGTAAATAGTCGATTGATACTGGTGAGGCACTGCCTCACCTGCCTCATAGGACCAGCCGCCCCTGACTGTCGGACGGACCGGACCACCATTTAGGAACCGCTGGTCTAGGAGACTCTAAAACCTTATTACTATGGAGCTTATTAAATACTGGTTTTCAAACGGAAATTGCACATTCCTTTACTGCACGGACTGAAATGAAGTATAGAAAGCATACGATTGATTAAATTTTTTTCGTACAAATTTTTTTTTGAGTATTTTTGTACACACTTTACTTACTTTCACACATTATTTAATTCTTAAGTCGTGCGAAGTTCACCAGGTCGGCTAGTTTTTGAAAAAAAAAACCGCCGACTACATGTCATCAGTAAATATCATGGTTGGCCTTTTGTTGCAAAAGCAATCTTAATAACATCCCTAATAATTTAACCACTATAAATATCGTGGTGTTTTTTTAGGAACTATGTAGATTGTGTAAAATGGTTCGGGGACTTCTTACTTAGCAAATCCTGTGAGAATTGCATTGTTTGTTGGAAACCAGGCCGTTTAGAAGACGAGAATTTAAGAAAAGGAGAAACTAGTTCCACGATTATCCATCGATTTGAGTACAAAGAATGTGAAATTTGGTTCGTGAGATTCGCCATGGACTTCTGGCAAAAAGTAAGTACTCACACAATATTTTTAAATCTATTCAAAGACAAGTAAAAACTTTTTGATCGAGGTTTGTTCAATAAGTTCTTAGAAAAAATGTATAAAACCAAATTATTTCGGATTTTAATTTATTTTTAAACATTATTTTTCTTCAGGAGTATAATACAAATTTCCAAACGTTCTCCAATTTTTTAAGCCATCCAAAAGAGGGAACAGGAAATGACGACATTTAGTCATTGATATTGTACTGATTTGACATTGATCATTGCCCGCAAAGCAACTTAAGTCTCTAGCGATATACAACAAAACCGCGAGGGACTAAATCAAGGTGAAAATAGTGGATGTGGTAATTGATGGATGGTATATATATATATATATATATATATATATATATATATATATATATATATATATATATATATATATATAAACTGTTTTTAATGGGTTGGAGTCAATAAAAGGGGCTATTTGTTAACTATTTTTTACTCGAGCTTTCAATTGTTTTTACAATTATTATCAAGAGCTGCTAAAAAATACAAAATATCTTACAAAGTTGAACTAGAAAGAAAAAAAATTTTGTTAACTCATCAAATAAAATTAGTTTGTTAATAAAAATGCTGCTAACATATTTCAAAAAATATTATTATAAAAATGTTCTAATCTAATAAATGCTTCTCTGAAATTTTAATATAATTTTGAAAAAGTTTCTTAACACAAAAACAATTGAATTTAGAAATAAGTTTAAATAGTGACCAATTAAAATTAAGCCTCAATGTCATAAATACCAACTTAAAATTTTTATTTTTGACAATTATATTGCCAAAAATAAAATTTTGTTTAAAAATTATTTTTTGTTTAGTAACAAAAAAGAAGAAGATTTATTCACCATTGATAAATGCATGAAAAATGTAACAAATACATGGAAAATTAAATCAAAATGTGATATTTTACTTATTTCATGTATAAACTACATAGAAATAATATAATTATAAATTTTGCTTAGATTTTGAATTCCTGACCTTTTGTTTAAATTATTATCACTTTTGGTAATACAAATCATTTCCAAAAAAATTCTTTTGAATTTATTACTTTCACTACATAAAATTTTTATCAAAATCGATAATATGGTCTTTGTCGATTACATGCTCTGCCAAAGCATAAGATGGTTTCTTAATTCTGCAATCAATTTTGTGAGAAATAATGCGATTTGAAAGATTTCTTCCGGTCTCACCAACATACTCAGCTTCACACTGAGTATAACTAATGCTGTATACTACATTTGTTTTATCTAATTTGTCTGTAGGATACTTAGTTTTGAAATATAAAGATGAAATGGTTTTGATATTCTTTGTTGCTATTTTTATATTGTCAATAACCTTTAGTGTTTGTATTAATTTAGGTGTTAATGATGGTATAAAAGGTAGTGAATGATAATAGATGTTCTGATTGTTGGATACAATGTTCTGAGATTTAGCAAAACATGGTGTTAAGTTATTTATATTAACAATATTAGAAAAAAGCATCCTATGTAACATATCTGGAGGATAAGAGTTTTCAATTAAAATATTTTTTAACAATTGAAGATCTTCTTGTAGATAATCTGGGTGAGAAAGATTTAAAACACGTTCTTTTAATCCTGTTATAAGGTTCATTTTTATCTTATTTGGATGATGAGAGTAATAGCTTATAAATCTATTACTACATATGGGTTTTCTGAACCATCTGGTTTTCAACATATTGTCTGTATGTATATATATATATATATATATATATATATATATATATATATATATATATATACAGGGTGGTCCTTAAGTAATTGTACAAAAAGAAACAGTAGATTTTACACTTTAAAATATTACGATTTAAGCCAACTTTCCAATGTTGATATTAAGAAAAATACAGGGTGTTAAAGTGGTTTTATTTGTCGCTATAACTTTGACGTTTGTAGACATTTATATATAAAAATTTATAAATAGGGGCTTTTAAATATGAAGAATTATAATATGATGCATACTTTAATGTATCTGATAGATTGACATATGCCACATATTAGGCATAAATTTACGCTTAACTTTTTGTTCTTCAAGTTAGCGCTATTTTAGTTAACAAATATTAAAGATACATTATTTTAACAAAAAACGGTACACCTGTTAATAACTTCAAAACTCAACTGTTTTGGAGATAATCGCATTTTACAGATTAGCACCATAATAATTCTTAGTTGTGATATTTAGAAAACACTGAATATCTGTAGATAAGCATAATTAATAGTTTATTCTAATTCAAAGATGGTTATGTTACATCACAAAATGCTTTATTATGGCTGCTAAATGTCTTATTGAAGCGAAGCTTCTATCTTCTTCTTTAGATTTTGTGTCCGTAATCAGATTTTGGCCATCATCATGTTTACAATTACCTGAAACCTTTCTCTATCGTTTCTATAAGTTTCTATATTTGCGTTGCATTACTTTTTCTCTATAGTAAAATTATAAGGCGAGCGTCGCAGAAGAAGCGCCACGAGACGGCGTGACGAATAGCGTTACGAAATAACGGTCTTTAAATCGATTTACCTTCTTCTTTAGCCTTATGTAATCCAACTTTGGACATAGGCCTCCCCAAATCAATCGAGTGTCTTCTATTTTGCGCCACTTGCGTCCTCCGATCTTCTTGATGTCATCAGCCTCTGACGTCTTCCTCTGCTTCTCTTTCCTAACCATGGTCTCCATTGTTGTATTTCGTAGTTCCATCTCTTATCCTTATCCTTAGTTGTAAATAAATTCCTTTCAAACTGTAATTAAATTTTATTTTTAAACATCCTATTTATTTTATATAATAAATTAATTTACTATCAATTGATGCAATATCAAATTTAAATTTTGGATTCGATACGTGTACCTGAACGAGTATCACAGAAAACATCGGTTTTGCCGTTCTCGTAAATTACAGTGCTTATAAATAGTTTTTAAACTTATTTTGCGATTTATACTTGTTCCAGACAATAATAAAGTGCAGTGTAACTATATACGTATACTTTCGCGGGTGCATATAATCGCTAAACTTGCATAAATAATATTTCATTAAGTGCATATCCTCACAAGAAAATAAAAATTTTGGACATTACACTAGTTGCTCCATATCTAGGCAACTTCCATCGCTAGGAAGCTGTCTTGGACTACGAGGATGCTTCAAATCCAACAATGTCAACAAACCAAATTGTAACCAACACAACCCAATCACTAACAGTAACTTATCTTACACGGCTGCAGTAAAATCATCCCTAGACTATCGTTCCCAAAAAAGGATCAAGCCGTGGTTCTTCATGCCGAGAATAGTTCAAAGCTATACGATTATGTACATACAATCGAATCTATAATTAGGGTCAAGAACATTTGCTTCGCATCCAGGATATCAAATAATAGGGTATGCACTTATTTATCTAATTTTGAACTTGTCGAAAAATTGATAAATTCTCATCCATTGATTCAAATTAATATATTTTCACTAAATATTCGGAGACTTATATCTCCAATCAAAAGAGTTGTTATTTTAAGTATATCACCTTTCATTCCTCATGATCTAGCTGAAAATGCTATAAAAAATCTTGGCTTACAACTAGCATCCTCCATATCGTTTCCCAAAGCAGGTATCCCTGGAGATGAATACAACCATGTTTTGAGTTTCAGGCGCCAAGTTTATATATTTCCCCCATCTGATAACTACGAACTACAAATATGAATAACTATTACATATGATGGTCATGGACATAGAATATTTCTTCCTACAGATAGAATGGAATGTTTTATCTGCAAACAGGACATGTTGCAAATAACTGCATTAATCCCCCATCTTCCATTTTTCATATACAGTCAGATACCAAAGCTCACATTTCTAACAATGAACCTAGCACGAATATAAACGAAAGCGTCCAATCATCTCAATACATTCCAGTAATACGTCAAAAAATATCTCCTTCAGAATTACTTAATGACGAATCTAGTCTTCTACAAAACTAGGTTCATCTCTAACATGGTGTCCATTAGATAGTCTGTACGATAGTGATCATTTCCCTAAACTAATCTCAGACAATAAACCCAAACCGTACAACCCAGTAAGTAAATGGCGTATTGCACAAGCGGACTGGACGAATTTCAGTCTAAACGTCCGAGACCAAGTCAATTCAATTAAATGCGAATATAACATGGATCACCTAGTTGATCAGTTTACCAATTGCATAATTCACTCCGCTCAAAAATATATAGGAAAATATTCTGTTAAACCTACACGAAAATTAGTTCCTTGGTGGAACGATTCCTGTGCTGTAGCAGTTCGTGTATGTACGGAAGATCTGAATAAATATAGACGAACAAGAACTAATGAAAATCTTATTAAGTTTAAATTAGCGAAAACTAAATCAAAACATATCATAAAGGAAAGCAAAAAGACTTCATGGAACCTTTATATCAATTCTATTTCTTCCGACACACCTCCAAGCAAGTTTGGAACAAAATTAAACATATGAAAGGTCAAAGCACCGCCCACAAAATCCCCGCCTTAATTCATGATAACAAAATAGTGTATCGCCAAGATTTTTGCGCATCACTTTCAATCTAAAACGCTAAACCAAAATAAGTCTCCTTTACACTCTTTTAACATCCCAAGTGGTAAAACTAACGATATTTCTAACCCAATAAACCTATCCTTTTCTCAACAAGAATTGACTCTAGCCTTATACACTACAAAAAACTCAGCTGCTGGCTCTGATGACATCCCCTGAATTTTCCTCAAATATCTCCATGAAGAAACTATAAATAAATTGCTTCAATTGTACAACCTAATCTGGTCCCGACAAGAATTTCCTTTCAAATGGAGGGAATCCATTATATTTCCTATAAAAAACGGGTGTGGCAGTCCAGTGGGACTGCCGGTAGAAGTTATATTTCTATTCACGCATATGCCGTTAAAAATTTATATGGTAGTCAATCTGCACAATCATTACATATGTAATG